TCATTTAAGCAAAATATCTGAATTCTGGCAAATCTGATCTGTCACCATGACCTTGAAAATTTCTCTGTACTCTTTTGGTGAGACTGGAGGTGATTAACACATGAATCTTTTTACACTGCATGGTGAAATATGCTGATCAATGGGTGACGTTTAAAGAACCACGTGTGGGTAAACTCTCCATCCAACATGCAAAGTGGACTTTAACTCAGCAGAGTACACAGACTTCACTGGCTAAGGTTTTGGATTTTACACTGCAGTAAACTTCCAAGAAAATGCCATGCTGTGCCTTTTCATATGGCACCAAAAAATATACACAATTATGTAACAAGGTGATTAATACACTCTTCTGTTTTCCAACTACTTATCTGTGATGCCCAATTTTTAACCAAAACAATGAGCCACGCCAGACTGAGGAGCAGAGAGGAGGTGGGAGGCTGCTCAGAGTCTGGACGTAAGGGCTGCGAGCAGTTTTGCAATAAATAAATAATATAAATGCTGCTTCTTCCTCAAATCTTGTTGTTTGAGAAAATATAATTACTTCTCATTAAAAATTATTTATGCTGGCATATAATGGGTTTATTATCATGATTTCAAAAATTAGCGAAATTTAGGCTTTTTTAAAAATTAGTTTTAGGGGCTGGGGATTTAGCTCAGCGGCATAAGTGCCTGCCCTGAAAGCAGGCAGTCATGAGTTCGATCCCCGGTACCGATAAAAAGACAAAAAAAAAAAAAAAATTAGTTTTAATTTTTAGCATGGTCTGCAGCAATAGATTTAAACCATGAAAACTGAAACTCTTTGGGGTCTTCCATCTCAGAAGCCTTTAAAGCAATTTTCAGACCAAAAAGTATGAGGAGCGCTGCCTTCAGGAAACAAACAGGTTTGCCTTCATCGTCCTGCTGTTATAAATGGCAAAAAGGAAACAGACGGAAAAAACGGTGCAAACGACTTATATGTCCGAGAGCGGGGAAATGGTTGCATAAATTTTGGCACCTCCATTTGGTAGGACATTATGTAGTCATTAAAATTATGTTTTCGAAGAATATTTATTGTTGTGGGAAAATGCTCAACACATTCAACATGCTGTTAGGAGATTAACGAACGAAAGCAGTACATTTTCATTACTGTGATTTCTGGAATGCCGTGATTCACAGGCAAACCATGAAAGTGAGGAGGCCTGGAACAATCAACCCACAGACACCCCACATCCACAGAGGCGCGAGGGGAGGGCTGCAAGCTCAGCCTCGGGCTGGGTGGAGTTGCACAGGGACCAGGGCTGGGTTCGCACACAGGAGGTGCTGCTCCTTCCTGATCCATCAGGGCTTCTGCTGCTGAGCTCACGACCCTAACTCCTCAAGCAACTGGTCCCACGCTCCGGCCCAAGGGAACAAAGGAAGCTTCTACGCCCCCGTTTTGCCTCAGCTCCATTCTCTTCATGGCTTTGACGTTGGCACCAGGGACCGCGTTTCAGGTTCCGGCTGGAGTTCCTAATCCTCTCACACACTGGAAAATGCAGGTCTCGTCCAAACCGCACGACCAGGGTGGGCGGGCAGAGGGGGGCCTGCCAGAGTGGGAGCCTTTGCTCTTTCCTACCACAGGGACTCGGGCTGTTAACAAGTGTCACCCAACATCTGCTTCCTCCTCTGCTTGTGCGTTTATCCTCATTCTCCTCATTACGGCATTTAAATCCCTCCTTGGGCCCCAGCCTCCTCCTGCCCACATCTGTCTGCAATTTACACACCACGTGTAGGAAGCGCCTCATTTCTGACTGCGGAGAAATCCAGGCAGGATGCTTGGGGTGGCTGACAGTGCCAACTTCAACGCCCTTCAGGGACACCGCTGCCTCGAGCGGGGATGAGCTCAGGAAGTGTCACAGATCTGGGCCACCTCTAATGGAAATCAGGCAACTGACACCTCCAAGAGGATCCAAGGAGATGTGTTGAGCCCCCGCCCATCTGATTGTCACTAAGCGCTGGGCACGGGGCCACGGACTTTACAGCTCATAGACTAGCAAGCTGCTACTATTATTGACTCCAATTATAAGAAACACAGCTATTATTATCCTCAGCAAAGGAACTATGTATGGTTCAGGAAGGCTGAGTAATTTATCACAGGTCACACAGCTAGAAAATGGCAGAGCTAGGATTCGAGTCCAGGTCTGACTCTGGAGCCTGCCACCCCCAGGACTGAACTACATAGCCTTGGTCCCCGCATCCAGGCTGATTTCATTCTCAGTGACGCCCTCAGGTAAGGTGAGCTGTGTTGGTATAGTAGTAAAAGTGTCTGCTGCTAATTAGCTCTGTGACCTTGGCCAAGTTACTTAACCTTCCTGATGCTTATCCGGGCATCTTGGACTATGACCAGGAGTTAACAGCTCCTAGCAGGATTGGAGTAAATGATAATGTATTTAGCTCAAGCATCAAGTTGCCCCGAAGTCCTTGCTGCCATATCGTGATTCCTACAAAGGAGCCACCCACGGAGCAGATCAGTAGAGGGGGCATCATCTGGCCCAGTGGTGGAAAGCAATGCCCGCCCGGGAGCCCACCCTTATCCACGGATTTGCATTCTGTGGTTTAACCTGCACGTGGTCAACCACAGGCTGACAACATCACATAAAAGATTTCTAGAAATAAATAGTTCATGAGTTTTAAGTAACTCTGAGAACGGTACATTATTGTAATTGTTCTGTTAGTAGCTATCACTGGTCCTCTCTCATTGTGCCTCCTTTATAAATTAAGCGTTGCCACGGGTACGCATGCATAGCAGAGCGCGCAGGGTATACAGCTCTGCACCATCTGTGGTTTCAGGGACGCACAGAAGGCCTTGAGCATATCCCAAACACACCAGCGGATTCGATATCAACACCCCTATTGCCTCGAGGGCTGAAGGGGCAGGGTGCGCGTTAGGCCAGGCTGCCCCCTCACACACACTGCCGTGTTCAGTTCTCACTTCCTCCCGAAGCCGCCATTCCTGTCCCATCGCTCTGGTCTGGAAATTGAGATCTGTAGAAGCTGGGATGACATCTGAGGAGCTGAGGTGTGATGGGGCCTGGGCCCAGGAACTTCTTCCTCCCAGGCCCAGAAGACATGGAATTCTTTTTTATTTTTTAATTTTTTTTTTCTTTGTCTTTTCCCTTTTTATCTGTACCAGGGATCGAACTCACGACTGCTTGCTTGCAAGGCAGGCGCTTATGCCGCTGAGCTAAATCCCCAGCCCCTCTTTTTTATTTTTAGGCAACATTAATTGAACTCATGACTTCACGTTTGCCAGGTAGGTGCTTAAGCCGCTGAGCTAAATCCCTGGCCCTGAAGACATGGAATTCTGATCTCAGCTAGGCACAGGTCTGTCCCTGGAACAGGTTCTAGGAAAGGAGGTAGAGACAGTTCGGCTGCTTTCTGTACCAGCACCCCTCCACAGGAGGACCGCAGACATTGGGTGCACGCCTTAGCTGGCTGCACCTCCCACAGGAAAGTCCCAGGATGGGCTCCGCCCCGAGAAGGGGACAGGGGTTCAAGCCCCTGAAGCTGAGAGGTAAGGGGAGCTCCCAGAGCTTCTCCTGGAATGCAGGGTGGCTGCATGCAGGAAAAGCACGCATCCTTGAGAAATGCCTTCCCAATCATGCTGTGTCAGCTGGGCCACCTCGGCCCACACCTGCCTCAGGGACCCACGGGAAACAAATGCCCAACAGGAGAGGAGGGTCCACCTGCCTTTGGGAGCAACATGTACTGCTGAGAAGAATCCGCATTAGCATGTTGAGGCCTCAGAACAGGCTCACCCTGAAAGACAAGGTCCCTGAATTCCTGGGGATGGTGAGTGGGCACTGCACTGCCAGCCTGCATGGCCAGTTGCACTGACCACGTCGGAGGGGGAACTTGCTGTGACAGAGCTGACTCAGTGCCAGCCATGTGCGTTCCCCGCTGCACGCTGCATCACAGAAGCAGCCCGCCACAAGACATGGCCAGCCAGCTAGAAATGGGCTTCCTAGGGCCCCGCAGCAAGGCAGGGTTATCATCAAAGCTCCCACCAAGGGCAATCTCAGGGCCTAAGCTGGGCTCTTTCCACGGTCTCTCACAGACCAAGAAGGGCACAGACACTGACCACTCTGGAACATGCTCTGCGGGATGGGTAAAGGGGAGTCAGATTCTATAGGCCAGTGTCCTGAGGTCTCTTGGCAAGAGGATGACATCAACCATATGAACCGGCTTTGGCATCAGAAAGGAAATTTCAGAGCAGTCCATTGTAAACGGTTAAGTGGAAAACAGGCTGCACAGTTTCATTGCTTTTTTTTTTTTTTTTTTCCTCTTTCTTTTTTCGGGAGAAGCAAAGACATTAAGAGTTCATGAGAACCAACACAGACCTCGAAGGCTGTTTTCTCCCCAGATGGTTCACGCCCAAGTTGTCCAAGCACGGTGCCAGCTGCAGGGTTAGACAATGGCTTCCAGCCCTTCTCAAACAACCCGAGACCTTCCCGGAACCTCACAGTGTAGAAGAGAGAGAACTCAGAGCTGTGGCATCCCAAGCAACAATAAGGGACCAGGCCAATCACATGGCCCACTGGCTTCCTCTTTTGCTAAAGCAATTTCTGGACAATGGAGGTCATGGGCCCACGGCCCACCTCACTGAGAGGCCCCTGGACACCCACAACACACTGTCCTCCAATTGATCCCCCAGACCCAGGGCTGGACACCACCAGCCCAGAGGAAAACCATGCAAACAATGTGGCCCATTTCATTTCCCAAGAGCCCACTAAGACACCAGGGAACGACCATGCACACTGTGCTGTGTGGAGAGGCGCTGAGATGGGATTACATCAGCATCCTGAGCCAGCAAAGATGCCCACCCGCCATCCACAGGCTGGAGGGAAGCTCCAGCTCACATGTCCTCATAACGGGCAACATGTGGTGGTCCAGGTCTGCCCCAACCCGAGAAACACAGGCTCCCACCCGAAGAAGCGCCAGGCTTGGTGGGTGCCCAGGTGAGGGCAGTGCCCCTCTTCACTCACCTTGCAAGGCCTCTTTGGCTCTGGCCAGCTCCTGCTCCTTCTGCACCAGCTGCACCCTGAGCTCGGTGGCTGAGAGGACCTCGGAGGCCTTGCCGCCCTGGGACTCCTCCAGGTCCTTGGCCAGCATCTCCTTCATCTGCCGCAGAAGGTGCACTTCCTCCTGGAGCCGGGACACCTCTTCGCGCAGGAGCACTAGGGGAGAAGGGCACGTGGTTAGAGGATGCTGCCGGCTAGCTTGCCTTGGAGACAGCTCCATGGAGCTCTGACTGTCCTCCTTTGCGGAAACGATGCCCTCTAGCCCCACCCCAGGCTCACCCTGTCTTCAGAGTGCATCTTCTGACACCCCAGGCCCATCACATGCCAAAGATGCCACCATTGCCATCACTGCCCTGAGCGTCCACCTGATGGCCACAGGCTTGGGAGCTGGCGGTGTCACCACTCGCCAGCAGCATGCTGGGTTAATGCTTTAAAAGCATCGTTTCATTTGCTGCCTGAAACCTGAGTCAGGTACAGTCACAGCCTCTGTTTCCAGACTAGGATGCTGAGGCTCGAACAGGTAAAGCAATGGCAGGAGGTCTCAAGTGGGTAGGAGACAGAGCTAAATGGGGCCTGGCAGACGCCACGGGTCCTGGTCCACACTGGGGCAAGAGCACTGCAAGACATGCAGCATACAGCCTAGCTCGCCACCCTGCCACAGATGGGCGTGACACCATAGCAGAGGGGTGTCCAGCAGGTCCCCAGGGATAAGCTGGAGAGCACAGTGTCCTCTCAGGCCCTGGGTGCACCCCCGACAGGCCCCTGCTTACTAAAAATATTGATATGCCCTGCAGTTTGGGGACTGCCCAAGTCTCTCAGTTGATCTGCAAAATGTGAGATCCACTATTGGGCCTCCTGGCCCTTGTGATAGGTCAGTCCTGATGGGCGCCTACACTCCAGACCCAGAGCAGGTACCCAGAAGGCAGAAGGGATATCTGGTCACCTCGGAGCTCCCCATAAGCAGAAGCATGCATGTACCAGCAAAATGTACCAGCTGGGCTGCGTGTGCTTGGAGCACAAGTCCACCCCTAAGGAAGAGGGAACAGCACAAGCAAAGGCCAGCAGGCTGGAAACACAGAGGCCCCGAGCCACCGGCACCTGCGGTAGTGGTGAGGAGGAGCAGATGGAGTTGGAAGAGGTCAGGTGTGGTCACCCTTGGTGCTCCTGCTCTGGCTTGACAAATCTAGCAGGACTTGAGACTCTGGAACTTTCTTCCCTACATGACTACTTTCCAGTTATCCATGCCAGGATGTCCTGCCGTTCCCACTCAACTGTCACTGAGTACCTATTTCGAGGTACAGCATGACTGCTAACGTGTGTTCATGTTCACGACATTACCAAGAGACAGAAGACAGGTATGATTGTTTTGCTTTTGTTTGCTTAATTTTGTTTAGGAGACTGACTTCCAGGCTTCCTCAAACCACCCCAAGAAAGTGACCACCGTCATTTACTCCTATCTGTGAAGAAGGCAGTGATCCTGCCTGGCCAGGGCCTTCTTGTGACCCTGCGTGAGTCTTGTGTCATTTCTCCAGGCTGCATGAGTTCTGCCACTGAGCTTGCCAGATTTAGCAAAACGAAACAACAAAGTCCCAGGTGCACAGTGAAACGTGAACTTCAATAAACAAGATCATTTTTATCAGGAGTTTGTTCCAGTCGGTGCACAGAAATATTTAGATTGGAAACACGCGTTTATCTGAAATTCAAATTTTACTGGGCGTTCTGTGTTTCATGCCAGCACCCCCACTCCCATCCTATGGGGATGCTGGCACAGGGCCAGTGGGTGGCCCCTTGGGTGGCTTTGCACTGGCACCTTGCAGGAGGATAACAGCTGAGAGCCTAAGATGAAGCCAGAGCCTGGGGCCCTTCCAGGCGTTTGCCCTCCGAGTGCCCCTCGAGCAGGTGTCTCTGGGCCAAGGCCCTGCCCCTCCTGATAGGCTCAGGGACAATCGCGTGGGAGCTGGGACAGTGGGACACAGGTGTGGCGTCTGCAGCAGCCGAGCCTTAGGAGACCAGGCTGGAAAAACAACTCCACAGAAAGCAGAGCAAAGGCTTCCAGCTTACCCAGTGCACCTGCCCAGGTGGGCGTGGAAGCTGGGTGTCGTTAGAGGACCAGGACCGCAGGCACAGCGAGCCTAAGCCCAGCAGCTCCAGGGGCCACAGGGGGCATGATGGCCACATTCCCTCCAACCTAACTATGAAACAGGGGCAAGGACAATAAGCAAGACAGACAGCAGACTGGGGGCGGGGCTCAGTGGAGAGCGCTTGCCTAGCAAACACCAGTTCCCCAAAACTGCAAGACATGTGGGAGACTGCAGCACCCACAACCTGCCTTCCCTCTGTGCAGACGACTCTCCTCAGAAAGCTGAAAGTGGAGCTGGGAGCTCTGGTTTCTGTCTAAGAGGGCCGCTCCCTTGATAGGTGACGGTGGACAAGTCGTCCTTCTCTGGGTCCTCGCTACCAGTGCTCTTGGGGGCACCTAGAGAAATGCTGTTGATTTGCGTGTTTCTCCCTCAGTAAGAACACACAGCCCAGCTCTTGGTCTGCAGCTGCCCCGTGCACCATGGTGGCCACCAGCACAGGCAGGTGGCCGTCTGCAGGCATCAGCGTGAAGCACAAGGAACAACCCCAGTGTACATGCAGGGCCCTGGCAGGGGCTCCGGACAGTGCAGCCCCACACGCTGCACCCACTTTCCCTGAAGTCCTTTGGGGGGACATGGTCCACACGACACGAGACGGAGAAAAAAGAAAAGGCATTCATTAAGCATCGGTGCCGCCTGGGCTCCATGGGCAGGAGAGCTGCACAGGAAGGAGCTGCCGTTTCCGCAGAAACCATCCTGGCCTGTGCCCAAGGACAGAAACGCCAAGACTGACTGTGTACCTTTCCGCTGATGCCAGGCAACCACAGCGTGCTAGGACTCGGAGCGGGGTAGGAAGAGGCGGAGAAGCAGGCTCCAAGAGCCATCAGTGGTACTGTCCCAGGACAACCTGTCCAGCAGACAGGACCGGGGTGAGGCTCCCAGGAGCCTCTTTCCCAAGGGCAAAGGGGGTGCTCAGAGGACCATCATACTCGCTGGCAACAGTGGGGGACAGACTCTGCCTTAGTCTGCCAAAACAGAGCCGTGCTTTAAAAAACTGTGATTTCCCAGCCTCCTTTGCAGTTAGGTTACCCACGTGACCCAGCTCTGCCCAGTGAGGTATAGAAAAAAGTCCGCAGGAAGACCACCTCTTAAGAAAAAATGGCTTTGTCCTGCCATCTCCTTCTATCTTGAAAAGTGGATTTACTGGCTGGAGCAGCAGCAGCCCCTGATAACATGGAAGCACTCTGTAAGACCTCTAAGGTTCTTGGTGAGTTATAGCAGTGTAAGTTCAGCTTCCCCAAGCCATGGCCTAAACAGCAATAATAATGTAATTATTATATGATACCAACTGTGCCTTTGCTAATACTTCCTGAGCTCACCCTATGACCTCCACACTCCTTTACAAGTCTTCGCTAGATTAATTCTTAAAACAATCCTAAGAAGTTGATTCTATCATAATTATCACTGCAACTTTCCACATGAGGAGTTTGTGACATAGGAGTTAAATGACAGGACCAAGCTTACACAGTAAAAAGCAGAGCCAGAGCTTGGCATGGTGACGTGCACCTATAATCCCAGCTACTCAGGAGGCAGGAGGACCGCAAGTTCCAAGCCAGCCTGGGCCACTTATTTAGATCCTGTCTCAAAAGAAAAAGGGTTAGGGATTGTAGCTCAATGGTAGAGCGCTTGCCTGGATATGGAAGGCCTGAGTTATTTTTAAAAAAACAAGAACAGAGCCAGTTTGAACTCAGAGTAGAGAGACTTCTTCACGCTGGGTCTCAGCCTCCACACGGCACAGCCCTGAGATGCTGAACAATGGACTGTAGCCTGAGGAAGACACTGGTAGCCGATTTCATGGTGCAAACAGCACTGGTGGACTGCACTGTCCCCGTGCAGTGCAGTGTATGACCATCTCCCCTCGCATGACAGCACCACGGTATGAGGTAATGCAAGAGTTTCCTTAGCCAAAGAGCACAAGTCCTAGCCAGGACTGGCCTGGGGGGTGCCACGGGCAGGAGGAGCCCCACACCAGTGCTCACAGGTGGGGCTGTGATCTCTGCCCTCCCCAGGGTGCAGGGTCCCGGAAGCTCTGGGATCCGCCAGGTAGATGTGCTTTGCCCCACAATGCCTGGCTCATTGCTCAGCACAGGCTCTGGGGCAGGAAGTGACAGGTGGGACAGACAGGATTGGAGTGTCCTAGTGGGGCACAGGCCCGGTCCCCCACTTGCCAGCTGTTTGACCTGTGCACCTGCGACCTCTGGCTTCTTGGCTGGAAATGGAGCCAAGCCGGTCTCTTGTGCCCACGGTAAACATGAAACAAAGCAGTCATATAAATGGAAATAATCACGAAGGTTCCAAATGGGGTCACGGGTAGCTCGCCAGGATCTTCATGGTGATGGAGGGCAGCCTCGGCCATCCTCCGAGGGCTGGCTGTGGCCTTAGGGACCAGTGGTTGGCCTTGCCTCCATAATCCAAGGTGGCTGTGACCTCATCACCACAGGACCGGAGCCCTGGGCGTCCCCGGCTCAGAGGGCAGCAGTAGAGGGCAGGGCCTGAAGGCCGAGCCACTGAGTCCCAGGGGAGGAGCGAGCAGGGGGCTGAGCAGAGGCCAGGCAGAGGCGAGGTCCTGGAGCCTGGGCTGGGAGTGACTGTCCCCAGCTGCCTCTTGTGGGCGGACACCTTGATAAACAGCCAAGGTACAGCTGCCAGAACTCCCTGACCCCAGACTACAGACTTAAGACCTATGCCTTTATTGTGTGTAAATTACACCTCGAGGAAAGCAAAATCTAAACAGAGCGGTGAACATGTCACATTGTCCATTAAAAACTCACTTTTTACAGCCCTCCTCCACAAAAACACACCCAGGGCCACGGTCAACTGCCTGCTCTCCTCTGGCTCTTGGAAGGCATTTTGGTCTGAGCCCTGCTGACCTTGACCTTGGTGGCTCGGGGGACTGACCTCCGGCCTCTGAGTGATGGGGAAGGGGCTGCACATCCAGGAGACACCGGGTGGTCACCTGAGCAAGTCATGCGCTGCAGAAATAAATCAAATGCCCTGAGAACTGCCCCACACGTGAAG